GCCCCGGCCTCGCTCGCCGCCTCGGGGGATCGACGGACGGAGATCGCTTCGCCGGGCGCGCCTGCGGACCCCGCCTGAGCCGCCTCCGTCCCGGATCCCGCGCAGCGGCCGCCGCGCCAGCGCTCCGACCCAGCCTCGGCTCGACGCCGGCGCCTCCAGGGCTGCTCGCGGCCGCACGAAGCAAGCCTTTGCAAGCACTCCGGCTCCGTGTCTGTATTCGCGCCCCGGGTTGGTCCGGCTTCTTGCCGAGCTCTCATTCCGCTGTATTCGCCCGGGGGCCCCTCCCGACAGCCCTGCGAGGTGGGCCAGGCGGGAGCCGCCAGCATCGCCGCGGGCGTGGGCGCGCGGCACCGGAGCCCGATCCCGCTGTCCCGGGCTTGCCCTCCCCGCGCCACGGCTCCCCGCGCCGCAGTTTGTGGCCCACTTCCCGAATCCTTCGGCTTGCGTCCTGCCCAGGTGGCTCGCGGAGCGCGGCGGAGGACCTTGCTCCCTTCGCCGCGGTCCTGCCCGGCCTTGCCCTCCTCCCGGTGCCCCTGCGCTCATCTCCGCCGCACACCAGCCCTGCGGGGCAGCCGAGCGAAGCCTGTCCCTGCGTGGCCAAGGGAGCCCCGGAGCAGGGCCAGGCGAGCAGCAGCAGCAGGAGCAGCTTTCGGCATCCCAGGAAGGGCGCCCGCCCGCCTGCAGCGCCCTTACATGCCGCGCATTGAGCAGCCGCAGCTGAGCCGCACCAGCCTCCGTCGCGGGCCCCCATGGCTGGCCTTAAGGAGACATGCCGCGGGGCTCGTCCTCGGATACAGGCGCCCCGGACCCCTTTTGCTGTGGGGGCCCGAGTCCGTCTCAGGGAGCGGTGCTGCGGGGCAGTCCCAGGTTCTGCCCTGCCCGTTTGCATTGCATTTAGATTGCGCTCCTGCACACACTCTGCCTCGGAGTACATTCCTGTGTGTGCCACACATCTTACATCCGAGTAGGCATGGCTGGCAATGCCCTGATATGTAGGGAAACAAACAAGCGTTTTTCTTGAAAGACCAACACATCCCAAATGCCATGAATTGGGCTACCCGCCCCCATCTCCTTTTAATGCTTAGGCTGCCGTTCAAGAGGGCTGTTGAAAGACTAGTTCAAGGGCAATGGGACCAGCAGATGTTCCTGGACTCCAGCTCCCATCATGCACAGCTGGGGTAGCAAGCGCAGGAGGAAACCAGCACCCAGGCTGGGAAAAAACATCTGTCTCCTCCGCCTGAAGGGCGAGCTGTACTGTCTACCCATGTAAACGACTTTTTGTTTAGAAACAAACCAAAAAATCGATCTCGCAGTGTCAGTGCATTAGTCATGACGCTCCAGCGCAGGCTCCCAGCTGGGCTGGTGGGATCAGGTTCTGCAGAGAGGATGCAGCCGGTTCTGGGCCGCAGTGGCTGCTGCTGCTGCTGCTTCCCGGGGCTGGCGGGCGCAGGAGGCCGCAACTCAGCTCACAGCAGTGGCCGCAGGAGGGCACTCCAGGCTCACCGCTGATACACTTTAGGTCCCATGGAAAACCAGCAAAGTTAAAAACTGCAGCTTCGGAGACATGGGGAAATGCAAGGATGGAAAAGGATGTGAATTCATAAGCTACTGGATAAAATGTTGTATTATTTACAGAGAACTTTGTAAACCAGAAAAGCACGGTGGTCTGCAAAATAAAGAGGGGATAAAGTCTTCCAAAACTAAAAAAAATTCTCCTTTCCTTGAACCTTTCTTGAACACAACTCCTACTTCATTACTGTCTGCACTTATGAATGGCCCTCAGTGTCGTTCCTGTATCACACACCCCTGGCAGGAGGGGCTCAGGCTCTTCCATGGAAGTCCAAGGCAGCAAAACCCAAATAATGCCCTTGTGTTGAGCCTGTTTTTTCACAGTATCACAGTGTGAGTCCTGTTTCGGAGCTGCTATTTCCTCAACGGTGATTTTTCAGTTTCTCACTGGGGCTAATTTTGTAATGGTGATGCTATTTTGTCTGAGTTGAAAATCTTCAACCATCACTGTGAACAAAACTTGTCCCACTGAAAAACTTCAGGCAGTTCCAGAAATCAAGGCCTGATCTGCCACCTCCATGGGCTTGTTCACTCTCCTCTTTGGAGCATTGTGTGGAGGATTGTGAGCAGAAATGACAAGAATGCATGCGTGTGTCAAAGATCCTGCAGCAGCTCCACTTTAAAAGTGGAACTGGCCCTTCTCTGTAGGAGGCTTTTCCTTATCCCGGCCCTTGCATGAATCTCTCAGGCGATCATAAGCTCATGTAATCGGCCCTATTAAATGCAGTGGATCTTAGTTCGGAGCGTACATACATAGGTTTTCCACATACATAGGTTTTCCATCACAGTCTATGTTCTGTAAAGGCAAGACAGCACAGAGGGCGTCAATGTACAATGCATCCCATATGAAAAGTTCAGTCTTAACAATGACGCAAGTAGAAGGGATTGATTCTGACGAGCACTCAGAAGATTCATAAGAGGGACCTGGGCAAGGTAAGCTTGATTCTGATTGGCTGTGCTTTTATTCAACCCCTCTGCTTTGATTTTGAAATAACTGGTGAGGCTATAAACTTCCCAGAAATAATCTGATCCTTGTATTTTAGTAGGGTGGGTGACCCTAAACAATTGCAAATTTTCTTTCCACCAGGTTTGCATCCAACTCTTTCCATCCCAGTGAGTGGCAAACAAAACCTTCCGTAATTGGTCATGAAGTTTATTTTATTAATTTCTCCTCAAGCATATACTCCAAAATTAAATCTCAGGAATCCCACTAAGAAATTAAATGCAAAACACAGAAAATCTAAGCCTCCATCATGAACAGGACAGAAGGCCACTGCCCTCACTAGAGCAAAGGAAGCTGTTCTCCATACAAATGTACAGATCAAAGTTTCCCCTTCCTTCTGTACTTCCTTCCTTCTGGGGAAGAGGAGGCTACAGACATACTGGCTGAGATTGGCAATAAATATGCTTGGACATATACTGCCCTTTGGTCTCCCTTACAGCTCGTATTTATACACTGCTTTTCTGCAATCCCAGTACTGAAAGGATGGGCAACTGATACGACATGCTGCTCATTACAAAAATGCATAAGCCATCAACGATTTTGATGAACTCAATACCTAACGATGAAATTATAACATAATGGTAGCATTAAATAAAATAGTCAACATTCATATCTCCAACATTGTACAAATAATCAGAACTCTGGTGCAATAGATATACAAGTAAACAGGAATAATTAACATAATAGGAATATAAAAATATAATAAGAATAATTGAGTCTGAAAATGCATAGCTAAAGGCTCCCAGAGTATCAGAATTTTTAAAAAGAACAGCACTCAAATATAAAATATAGATGTTAAAATTTCAGGAGTGACAGTCAGCTGCCAGTTCCAATCAATTACAATGGAGACAGCAGCCAAGAAACAACAGACTGTGACTTCCAAGGAGAGCAATGAAAGAACTAGAAAAGATTAAGTTTAAGGACATTTCACTGAAGAAAATTACCATGCTCACCCACACAGCTGTATTCCCAATCACTGTGCATGGTATGAAAGCTGGATAGTGAAGAAAGCTGACGGGAAGAAAATGGATGTGTTTGAAACCTATTGCTGGAGAGGAACTTTATGAATACACTGGTCTAACAGAAAGAGGAACGAGTGGGTCCTAGGCCAATTCAGACCAGAACTTTCCCTGGAAGCAAAAATGTCAAAACTGAAGCTGTCCTACTTCAGGCTCATCCTGAGAAGGCAAGATGCACTGCAGAACACAGTAATGTTAAGGGCCGCCAAAGGCAAAAGAGGCCAAGAATGAGGTGGACCAACTCTGTGATGGGAAACCACAGCCTCGATTTTACAAGAAATAAGCAGAGCTGTCCAGGGCAGGGCATTCTGGGGGCTTTCACTCCTAGAGCCATGCCAAGTCAGAGGAGACTTGATGGCACGTGGCAGCAAAGCAGCCCGTTCCCCAAGGCTTGGCTTGCAACAAAGCTTTGCCGGATCCACCCCTCCAGCACTTGTGGACCCCAACCTGAATGGCCTTGGCAAAGCGAGCTGAAGGTCAGGAAGAGGTGCTCAGAGCATCCGATGGAGCCCCACCCCCAGAACAGATTCCTCACTTTCCTACCCTGCTGCGCACAGAAAAAAGCAGTTGGGTTTTTTTTTAAATTGCCAGAACAAAAAAAGGTAGAGTTGTCAGAAAATAACCTCCTCTAAGGAGCCATCTACATTGTCAGGCCATTTCCAACACTTACTGTATATACCAGTGCATAAGATGACCCTTGAAACAGGAAATAGCAAGGCAAAAATCAGAGGTGGGGTGTCTTACACACCAGGTGAAATTTTTTCATCATACAGTAGGACCCCTGTATCCCTGGGCAATGGACTCTAAGTCCCAGTGGGTGCCTGAAAGTGCAGGACCCTGCAAAAGTGGAAAAACGGCAAATATCTCTAACAAAAAAGAAAAAAAGGCAAGTTTCTCCAGGGACTCTGGGGATGCCACGCTCTTCATCTCTGCAGTAGCCAGCGTCACCTGTTTCGTCTTTCAGTGGATGTGAAGACTCAAGAGATACTCATGTGTTTTTTTTTTCCTAGAGATATTCACTTTTTTTTTTTTGCAAGAGATATACCTGTGTATATCAGCAGGTAAGACACCCCTTGAAACCAGAAACAGTGAAGCAAAAATGGGTGGTTGTCTCATATTTCTGACATTAAACAGCCCAAAGTAACAGCCTCATCTTACATGTGAGTCGCCTTATACGCTGGTGCACACGGTAACCCACAGCTGGTAATATCCAGACATCCCAGACAATGCAGACTTCCAGACTGCATCACTTCTCGTCAGAATAGACACTCATATTCTCCCTTTTCAGATGCAAGTTGTACCCTTGGCCTCATGCTATACTGCAGCGATAGGAGTGGGTGGCACCAGGGATGCATGAGTGGGGCTCTGTGGGGATTGTGGGACATGTGGGGCTTCGGGTGGCACTTGTTGGCTTCCTGGGCTTGGCTTCCAGGACGCCTCATCTGGCATGCTGTGTCCAGTCCTGGGCACTAGTTGAAGAAAAGGATCCTAAGGAGGGCAACAAGAATGATCTGGGGACTGGAAAGAAAGCCCAGTGAGGAGAGGTGGAAAGGGCCAGGCATGTTCCACCTTGAGTAAAGAAGCCTGGAGGAAGGTATAATAGCACTCCATAAGTACCTGAAAGGCTGTTGCAAAGGGGACAGGCAGGATCTCTTCCCAATCATCCCAGAGTGCAGGACAGAACAGGCTCTAGTAGCAGAAAGCCAGCTTCCAGCTATGTATCTGGGGAAAAAATCCTGATTGTTAGAGCAGTATAACTATGGAACCAATATCCCAGGAAGTTGTAGGTTTTCCCACCCTAGGGATAGTCAAGTGCAATTGGATAGCAATCTGGGAGAGATGTTTAACTCGGAGTCCTGCACTGAGCGGGAAGTTGGACCTGATGGCGCTCTGCTCCCTTCCAGCTCTATTCTATGATTCTAAGTGTTTTCAGGCTTCCTCTCTATTTGGCTCCCTTCCTAAGTGAAGATCTCGCACAAAAAGTTCAACAGAAGATGGTCAGATGCCAAGGTAGTGAGAACTCTCCCACTTTTTCTGGTGAGCTTCCAGTTGTCTACAGATTATGTCTCTCATACATATCACTGTGTCAAATTTGTGTGTACCAAAAAAGCAGGCAAAGGTGGGATGCTTAGTCTCTTCCTCTGTGCTCTGGGTGTTCCTGTTGTGCTTGAGGCTGCTTGGAAAGAGAGCCATCTCCCTGGGAAATGAAGGGTTACAAATGTCCAGAGTGGGGCTTACCCTACCGCAGGTATGGCTCAGCCGGCCCATTCTCTCTCCTCCTGTCTTTTTAGCTGGGTTTCTTAACATTCTGGTACACACAATGCAGCATGTTGCATCTGTGATGGTTTCAGATATACCCACCCTTCTGAAAATGGTGCTAACAATTTCCCCAGGGTGGTATGGACCCTACATGCAGAATCTATTAAATGCATTCATGAGCCACCCAGAGAATCTTTGGGTCATGGGGTGGCATAGATGTGGAATGAATGAATCCATAGATTAAATAAATGAAATAAACGTGGCTGCTGTCAGGGATCCCTGCAGTCCAGGCTTGACTCTGCACTGTCACAAGGGGGTAGGAGAAATAGGCATGGGGTCAGCCCAGTCTGTCCCCAGAGGCCACGGCCAGGTGCCACAATTTAACCCATTGCCAGGCTGCAGTTAGGGACCAAAGCACATGACATTATAAACCATGACCATAAACGGAGGGTTTTGAGAGTCACAGTAACCAAAAGCTTTGAGCGTTTGGCACACACAACTCTAAAGGGTGAGGACTACCAAGTTGTAGACTTCACGGTGGCACAGTGAAGCGTTCACTGGCTGGGTCTTCTCTCCATCGCCTGGGTCTTCTGTCTTCCCCAGCCATTATTTGCAAATTAGCCTTGGCAGGCGCGGAAGGAGAAAGCCAGTGTGCTTTGCCAGACCGCCTGCAGCTCTCCAAGAACGGAAGCACTGCTCTACGCAGCATGGTGGGGGGCAGGGAGAGCCAGCAGCAGTCAGGCATCCACAGGTAGTGTGATGTGGCGCGCCAGAGGAGAGGTCTCAGATCACCCCTCAGAAGGAAGTGTGCCGCAATCCTCCCTCAGTCGGGTCTGGCAGGGCCAAAAGTAAGTGCCAGCGCCTCCACTCCCACCGCAAGGATACACTGGCCAACATTAAGCCGTCTCCAGGATCAACCATGTGAAGCCATCCAATCCTGTTCTCTTGGGACTGTGCACTGGGTGCTTTTCTTAGAGCTACTGAACCTCCCAAGTGACCTTTGAAAGGGACACCCTCTCTTCATCACCACCAAAATTTTACTGGACGGATAAACTCTGAAGAACTTCAGTTCCTACTTGGGAAATCATTCCTTCTCTCCGCTTCATGATCGCGTCCAACAATGTGCTTGTGCTCTTCTGTTTAATATTAGTTCTGTAGGCAGTACTGCTGTACATTTGTGTTTACATTTATATTCAGTACATAAAATATTTCTAACTACATAAGGCAGTCAGTACTGCCTTAAATTCACAAAAACAATGCATTTTCTAAGGACAAATTCTCAGTGATTATTGTACTCGCACAGAACATAAGTCAGTTGCACCAAAAATATAATTCAGTAATGTGTACTGTAAACATTTAACATACTTCCGGGAGGAGCAGCACCATTTCACATTATTTTTTACATTTCTACATAGTTCATTGCGCTCTCTCACTCTCTTTCCTCTCGCTCTCGCTCTCTTTCTTCCAGGACCTCATACAAAAATGGCATCTCCATGTGAAACTCATGGCTTCGAAATTTCTGCTATGGGTGACAGACTGGGGCTGCTAATCCAGCAGGATGGCCTTGTATGCGGCAGCGCGTGTGGTCCTCTTATGTAGTGCATTCACTGCGGAACCAGAACCTGTGGGTGAGGCTAGTGCTCAAGGGGAAAAGTACTTTCATACCAAAACCTGTGCTAGTCTAAATAAAAAAGAACACTGGGAGAAACAGACTCTCCAGAACCACATTCAACACGGGGAACCTAATTTTGTGCTGTTGACTGTGGTCAAGGGTAAAGAAACAAGCTAATGTGAACTAGAAGAGCGTAGTCGCATTGCAACTTTGCTGAATCATGTGCCACCATTTTGTTCTGCATGATCAGACGCCCATCTTCTGCTGCATGTCACTTCCTTTGGGCAGAAGAATGCTTTCCTGCTTATGAAACACTGCCAGAGGTCACACAATGTTCCCTCACCACTGCGAGAATCTTCCATGTTCAGGCCTGCTTTCCCAGTTGCTGAACTTGAGTATTTAATTAGATGTTTCTCCTAATGACTAAAAATGAAACTTTAAGCTTATGGACTGAAAAAGGGTCTGCAAACACATGCAGGTCCCCTAGTAAAGAGATTTAAGGGGCAGGAAGGCCTTAAGTAAAGCTGTGAAGTGACAACTGAGCAGCAGTGCTACACTTAAGAGGACTCGTCTTCCCAGCGCAATTTTAAAAATAACAGCAGCAGCACAAAAGTAAAATGTATGGGGATTTTAAAACTCAGGACAAATTAAATTAATACTGTACAGTTAATTACACGGAAGCATTTTGATTTGATATAAAAACAGCTTAAAATTAGCACTTCCGAAAACACCCCAAACGGATACCACCGACTTGTGCAAGACGACCCCTCCCACTCCTCGGCGGATCGGGTGGCTATCGGCAACAGCCCAGTGGACCTGCAGATGTCTCGAGACTGCTGTCTGATTCAGAAGCCAGTGCTGGATCGGTGGACAAGGAGGAGATGTCATTGCCGGATGAAGACGAGGACGGCCGGCGAGAGCCACGGATCACTGCTGAACCTGTGCTGAGAAACAGAGCACCAATTCTGTGAGCGAGCAGCTCTCCTCTTTCACTGCCAGCTTCCAGCTCTATTAGGACTCCCTGCTCATTAACCATCCAGTTAAACCTACCCATACAACGAATTCTTGGATTCAGTGCCTGATCTGTTGACAGAGCAGCACCAGAGACTGAAGCAAGGGGGCTGCAGAAGAAAAACCCTTGGTCAGCCAGGGTCTCCTATTTGCCTCCTTCACCTTGGCTTGTGGCCCTGAATGTACAGACATAACCTGGAGTGCATCAGAGGGGTAGGTGGATAGACCTAGTCCATAATTCTCTGCAAACTGTCAGAAGAAACATCCTGATATTAAAAATAGCATTAATTTTTCCTGATATTGAAAAATAACATTGAATACAATTTTGACTGTCTCAAATAACATTGCAACAGTGTAGGTTAGGGCAGCCAACCCTCATTCTCTTCTAGCAGTGCCTTTCTGTCTCTAAAGTGCTGGGCTGTGGCGATTCAAGCACCTGTTGCTGAACCCAACAAAATGCTGGGATCGATCTCTGCTTCCCCCAGAGTCCCTCCTGACGTCTGAGAACCTCAAACAGCCCCCACTGGCTTCACAAAGGGCTATTCACGCTACAGGTGGTGAGTGCATTTCCTACACGTCGATGTCCCCAGCTGCAGCCTGGCCAACCTTGTGGGGGAAGTATGTGAAAGCGCTCGGGCCTGCTGAACCCAAACCCCCACAAGTCTCCTCTCCAAATACTACCAGCCATTTTGAGTAGGCTGCAGGAGAGAGCAGGGGGGAGCAGCAGGGACAGAACAAGTGCGCAGAACATCTGGCCCGGTTCCTCGTTTGCTGCCACCTCCGTGCAAGAGTAACGTGCTACTTTGAACTTCGCTTTGGTTTCTCTCAGTGTTGCGGCTGGGAACTGTTCTGGCTGGTCTATTTATTTTATTTTATTTATTAAAACATTTCTATGAACTCTGGGAAGAGGCTTGTCATTATTATTATGATTACGATTATTTCTAAACTGCCCAACAGTCAAAGCCCTCTTGGCAATGTTTCCTGCCACGAAGAGTGAATGAACTGCTGCTGTCTGCTGTCAGCTATCCTTCTGACGTCATGTTAAGAATGCCTTTTATGCAGAGGCATTTAAAGACATCCAAAGACTTTTAATAGCTCGAGGGGTGTAACTTTACTCCCAAGTGTTTTATAGATGTACTCTAAATCATTTTATTTTAAGCTGTTTTTAAATGGGTGTGTGTGGAAAAGCTTTATGCTGATTTATGTACTGTCTATTTTATTATGTGTTGTAAATCTCCCAGAGAGGTTCAGCTATTGGGCAGTACAAAAACAAGTAGCACCACCACTGCAGAAAACCCCCCAACAAATAAATGGACAAATGGCCAATTATAAGCCATTCCTCCGATTCTCCATGACTCCCAGAGGGCTGCCATTATCTTGTGTAAAGGCAGCTATGCGTGTACTTCCAGTTTATGTACATGACAGCAGGTTAAAATTAAGTGGCATATCTGTATGAGTGAACTCTGTCCAAGATTCCAAGTCTACTTGTCACTCTTCATAAGTGGCATTAATTAAAGCAAAAACACTTTTATTGCAACCAACCTAAAGGCGATGGTTGTCCACATATAACTCCATTCTTGCTTCTCTCCTCCAGGTCCACAACTTCCTTGTAGATCAATTCTGAAATTGTCATGCATAGTGTTATCTATAGAATATTTCCAACAAGTTAGAGATGCAGTCTTGTGTAAAAAGAATCACATGTTCTAGAATTCCATTATTAAGCAATCAGCTAAGAACAAAGCACACTAGACAAGCAATGAACCCACTGAAAAACACCATTATGACCCACTTAACAAAACTGAGCAACTGAAAAAGCTGAAATTACCCAAGAGGGGTTTGATGGCCAATGTCTATACTGCCTTTAAAATCAAGATGCAAGACAGAGGAACTATCAAAGTAATTTTTACTCTTTGAAGCTTTCTGTAATGTGGGATTAGTAGCAATTGAAACGGCACCTTCAGGGCTTTCTTCAGGACTGAAACCCCGTTCACATTAAAAAGCATTATGAAAAACTTCCTCCCTTTCTTGCCAAATCAGCAGGCAACATTTGTTTACTAATGTGTCTGAGAAAACTATTCTTCAATCATAGATTTTATTTCCACCATATGAAAGATATATTAAGATGAATTTGGATCCCTTCTAAAATCAGCACCCAGAACTTATTACAAAAATAGTGTCATCACTATCACGTAACAGTTCTCTCAGTATACTTGCAATATTAATAAACAGCAGTCCAGGCCCTTGTGTTAAGATGAATTCGATTAAAGTCCAACTCTATGGTGGTCTAGCTT